TTTTTTTTTTTTTTTTTTTTGGAACCAGGGATTGAACTCAGGCCCCCAAATGGACTCTTAAATTCAAAATGTCAATGCTTTTTTAAAATTTGTAATTTTTATTAGGAATATTTGCAGTAGATGATGATTACATTTATTATGGGGAAGTGGTACATGTTAAAACATGTCTCAGGGGCCGGGGAGATGGCTCAGTAGGATAAGCGCTTGACTGGCAAACGCAAGGATCTGAGTTCAATCCCTGGTTCCGCAAAAAGAAAAAAAAAGAACACCTAAAATTCCAGGGCCATGGCTCAGTGGAATAAGTGCTTCCCTGGCAATCGCAAGGGCCTCAGTTCAATCCCTGGTTCCGGAGAAAACAAAAAACATCTAAAATATACCAATAAAACATGTCTCAATTTTTTTTCCCTTCCCCTCCACCCCCTTTTCTCCAAAAATTTTTGCTAGCTAGTTGTGGTGATGCATGCATGTAATCTCAGCACTTGGGAGGCTGAGGCAAGAGGATCACTGAGGGTTTGAGGACAGCCTGAACGACATAATGAGACCTGCCTCAAAAAACAAAAAATTATGTATTTTTTGTGCCAGCGTCAGATAATTATTTTTAAGTCCTTACCAAGTTAATTATCATAAACACAAATAATATACAAAACACATAAGACAATTATACTAATGCAAGGTACACATTGCATTGGCCGTGCTGGATGACAATCACTTTTCTGATTTTTTCCTATTGCCTGCATTTCAATTTGCACTTTATTTATATGTTGAGTTTCTCATAGAAGGGAACTAGGTGATATTTAAACCTGTATGTCTGATACTTTTTTACTAATACTCAAATGAGTGACTTCCCACTTTGCCTGCACAACTGCATGTGATATGCTAGTGAAGAAGGAAGGGAAGCATGCTTTTATTGTGATTTCATTTGCTGAATGTTGGGATGAATTTTCTGTGTTTATTTACACGATGGTATGATTTTAACCAATTTCATTTCTTAGTAATAAAATTCTTTAATATGTATATTCCACTTTGGATTTAGTAACTAGGTAAGTACAGTTTTTTTCCACATTTTAGATCACAGCTCAATTTGAGGCTGTGCTTCAGCAGTCTAGATGCTGGTATCATTCAAGGGAATTAGAGCATAGTGACATTTTGACTTTCTCCAAAAATTGCCTCCGATTTCCTTGTGAAAATCATTTTCCAAGGCCCATACGGCATGGAGTTCCCACCTTCCCTGGGAAAGGATCTGCATTCGCACTTCCACTGTGCTAAGAGTGGAACAGCTCGGAGCGCTTGTGAACATCTGTTTTCTCCCTGCAGCCAAGGTCCCGTTTCCACTGACACTGCGTTTTAAGCCCATGCTGCAGCAGGGAATCGAGTTACTCACATTAGATGCATCCTGGTAAGAACTTTCTACAATCAGGATATCCAACTTGCATTTTCACTGACATAGTTCTCTAGAGGTTTATTTTATTGAAACTTTACTTGGAATAATGTTACTGACTTCTTGCAGCTTTTTCATGAGTCTTGAAAAAGGAAAGAATTTGTTGTCCCCTTTCTTGGGCCATAGGGGAATAAGGATGGGTATGGTAACTTCTCTCAGAAGTAGAAAGGTTAAAAAAAAAAGGGAAGTAGAAAGGTTAAGCCAAGAACTCCAGCCTGCATGCTGATCACAGTGGTACATGCCTGTAATCTCAATGCTCTGGGAGGCTGACACAGGAGGAATGGCAAATTCAGGCCAGCCAGAATGATTTAGCAAGAAATCATTCTGGGGATGTAGCTCAGTACTAAATCCCCGGGTCCAATCTTCAATACTGAAAATACAAAGTGAAAATTTGTTCTGGCCTACAGTCGTGGAGGTTTTGGTCCATGACTATGGCCCCATTGCTTTAGGCTGAGGTAAGGTAGATCGTGGTCATAGCATGTAATGAAGCAAGCGTTTACATCATGGTTAGGGTACGAAAAAGAGAAGGGACAGACCAGGGCCCCACAGACCTTCCCAGGCACTGCAACCTCTACCTCCTATGCTCTGCCATCTTCCTTGAGTACCATGGGCTGGGCACCAAGCTTGAAAGCATAGAATTTTGGTGGGACATCCACATCTAAATTGTAAAAATCTTTGTGTGTGTGTGTTTTTTTTTCCTAAGATATATTAGTTTCCACTAGCTCTAATCATTGTTCTAGGGTTTTCCATGTATTACTTCATCTTCATAGCGACCAGATACAACACTGCCTGCAGCCAGCTCACCAGACTTACTTCCACTTTCTCTTTAATAGCAGATTAATAAAGCCTAAAACTCAAACACTCTTGGGAAACACTGCTATGGAACCTACAACACAGTAATGCTGGCTCAGATGGTCTCTAAGCTGTCCATGCTTTCTCAAAGACTGGTCTAGAAAGGAACCTCACAGGAGGAGAGTGGACAGTGGGGTCACCAGTGGTTGTTTGGTTCACCTGGGTTAGGAGAGCCATTTCTCTGTGGTGGGAACAGGGTAGATGCTGGGAGTTCATTGCCTGAGAAAACTGCATTTTGCAGGAGCAGCATGATTGTATTTAAATATCACCTCCCAAGCCGCATTTGGGCTAAGGCAGAACTTCATGGGTTGGAAGAAAGCTTTTGTTTCCTCTCAGCACAAGGGCAGGTCTGTGACTGCCACACTCACGTGCACAGAATAAGGCCTTAAGTCAGAGTAGACATTTCCTGCTGCAGACAGATCTGCAGTGTTGTACCCGTGGACGTCACTGACTGACCTGCAGCTTGCTGAAGCAGCTAAAATAGACTCCTACTGTTATGTGACCTCACTTTGTGGAATCTTTCCATGTATATATCATTTTCCTCATTCCCTCTAGTTTTTACTATATGCAAGCGTAATTTATGGGAGATGGATAGGAAACCTCCACTAAAGGAGGGTTGGGTAATAAAACTTAGAACATTTTCCCAATAATTGTCATCTTCAGCTTTGCAAATACTTGCTTAAGTCTACCTCTGAGCCTTTCTTCTAAGCATGGAATGCAGGAACACACCAGCACTTGTCATTTCCTCTGGAGAACAGATGCCACAGCCAGAGTTGTGTCTCCCTCTCAGGATACTTGTCTGGCATGTGCACGATTCTGGGTTCTAGCCCAGCCCAGGGAGGGGAGCGGGAGGTTTCAAGGAGGCAGTTTCTTTCAATTTTCAATTTATATTTCTTTTTTAAATTTATTCTACCTTTGTGGTGATCTTAACATTTTGTATTTTTTGATTGGATGTTAGCTGAAATATAGCCTATGCCAAACAACTTCATGTGGTACAGAAGTGCAAATTATGGGCCGGGGAGATAGCAGTAGAATAAGCGCTTGCCTAGCAAGCTCAAGATCCTGAGTTCAATCCCTAGTACTGCAAAAAAGAAAAAAAGGAAAAAAGAAAGAAAGGAAGGAAAAGAAAGCAAATTATGAACTAGCAACTCTGTTTCAGGCCCGGGAGATGGCTCAGTAGAATAAGCGCTTACCTAGCAAGAGCGAGAGCAAGGGCCTGAGTTCAATCCCCGGTTCCATCAAAAAAAAAAAAAAAAAAAAAAAAAAAACAAAAAAAAACACACTGTTTCACTTTTGCCTTGCTAGGGTGAGTTCTGCATCCTGGTACTTTCTCAACGTATTTGGGCTCCGGAGCATTTACTCTCTAATTTTGGGCCAAGATAACGGTAAGAATGTCTGCTATAAGAAGTAAATACTTAAGTAATTGAGTCTTCCATGTTAGAGCAAGAAAAAAATGAGGTCATACCATCAGAATAGTTAAACACAGTGCTTTCTTCTCTAAGTATCTGAGGTTTTTTGGAAGTGGCGTAAAATTCAGCACTCAAGATCTCAATTTTCCCCAGCAGTCGCTGGGACAGTACAGTTTTTGGCTGCCCAAAGTGATACACCTTCCTTGAGGGAGGGACTGTGTCAGCTGTGTCTGAAGTCTGAAGGAGAACTGGTTGGGTCAGCTTACTGACGAGAATCCTAGCCAGTCGCAAGCCTGGCTGGTGTGGCAGGGACCTCAGACATGCTGACCACTGTTCCTGTGTTTACTCTTCTGCGGGCTGTTTGGAACAGGTAAGGTAGAATGTACGTAGACTTGCTGCACCATCTGTGTATAATAGTTGCTTGATACCTGGTGGCTGTTGTGCCAGTTGTTGAAACTTGGAATGAAGTTCAGGGCTTCCTTTAGTCACCTCTCCTGCAGCTGTGGTCACCCCATTTTTCAGGCTGAGGAAGGTGATTTACATAGTCACATAGCCAGTAGAGGACAGATTCAGGGAGTGGGCACCGAGCACCTGTGCATGCCGTCCTTTGTGGGCACTAGGTTTGCAGGCCCAGCGCTCATGCAGCCGTGTCTCACCTGCAGCTGCTGACCAGTCCCGAGTTATGCAGGAGCAGATGACGGGAGCTGCCATGGCCATGCCCGCAGACACCAACAAAGCGTTCAAGGTATGCTCCTCTGCTTGGCCTGCAGGGCTGCAGTGCGGCCTGCAGGGTGTTACAGTTACAGTGCCCTCTTTCACCTATGCTTTTATTATCGTTTCCTACACACAGACAACTGCAGTCCAAAAATATCTCATAGAAAATGCCAAAAATAAGCAGTAATAAGTTTTAAGTTATCCACCGTTCTGAACAGTGTCATTCTGCTCCATTCCCGCCAGGACATGCCTCATCCCTCATCAGGGAACCTGCACTGCATGTTACCTGCCTCGTGCAGGCTGAAGAAGAGACCGTCTTTGTGTAGTATTTGTGATAGTTCTGTCCTAGTCTTTTTGTTCTCGTGTGTTACTGATCTTTGTTAATCTCATCCTATGGGAAACAAAAATTAAACGTTGTTATAGGTGGACATACAGGGAGAACAATATGTGTAGTGTTGGGTGATGTCCTACAGTTGTAGGCATATACTCACTAGCGAAGACAAAGGGCCACTGCAGTGCTTTAGAGCTTTCTGTGTAGGGCCTGATGGTGCACCCAGCTGGGGCAGGAGAGTCACAAATTTGAGGCTACCCAGGGCAACTTTAGAAAACTCAAAATTTTAAAATGACTGGGGCTGTTGCTCAGTGGTGGAGCACTTATGCACCATGGGGAAGCCCTGAATTCAATTGCCAGTGCTGGAGAAAATTGTAGAAATGAGTATGGTGTCTTAGCTTCCTGCATGCCATAGTAGTACTAGTTACTGGGGAGGGTGAGGCAGGTGGTTCACCCAAGTACAGAAGTACAAGGCCAACTTAGGCTACAAACTGAGACTCCATCTTACATGGGAGGGAGATGCTGAAGGTGTACAACGGTTCTATCATTTAGATACTTGTTTTGTTTTGTTGAGACAGGACCTTGATAAGCAGTTCAGGCTTGCCTTGTACTCACTATGTAGCTGGGGTTACAGGCATGCACCACCAAGCCTGACTTTTCTTGTGTTATTGGGAAGTTTTTTCATTTAAACTTAATCACCAGGCACGATGGCACATCCCTATAATCCCAGTACTCAGGAGGCTGATACAGGAAGATTGCTGCAAGTTCAAGGCCAGCCTGGGCTACAAAGTGAACTCAAGGCCAGCATGAACTTCATAGTTGAGACCCTGTCTCAAAAAGATAATAAGGGCTGGGAAGATGGCTCAGTAGAGCAAGTGCAAAAGGGCCTGAGTTCAATCCCGGGTTCCACCAAAAAAAATAAAATAAAAATAAATACAAGATAATAGATAAACAAACTTAAATTTAGCAAAAATATATTTTATCATGGGGAATATAGTTCAGCAGCATGAGATCATGAGTTTGATTCCCAGTACCAAATAAATAAAGAGAGAAAGAGAGATTTCTTGTTCCTAAGATAGAATCATCTACAAAATAATTCGTGGCACTTTTTACTGGGTTTTTTTCTTTGTTTTGTTTTATTTTGTTTTTTGGTGGTACCAGGGATTGAATTTTTACTGATTTTTAAGTGTTCATCCAAATCTACATTGTAAATAAAAGTGAAGCAGTTCAGAAGCCCCAACTAAACATTTGAGACATTTTTAACCTTTTGGGACCTAGTAGACATTAGATGCAGCCTATATTTTTAAAAAATAATGCTGCAGGACCAGCAAGATAGCTCAGCAGACCAAGCACAGGGTTAGGCAAGCACAGCCACCAGCTTCTGTCACCAGCACCACGTGCCATGCCAGCCCCACCCCTGGGCTTGCTGAGCCAGCCACGGAGTCCAGGCCTGGTGGCACACTCCTATAATTCCAGTGCTGAGGAGCCTGAAAACAGGAGGATCACTATGAGTCTGAGCTGTGTAGTGAGACCCTGTAGCAATACATTTAAAAAAAAAAAAAAAATGCTGCAGTAATGGTAAGCCTTCCAAAGGCCCAGTGCCAAACTGCAACCAAAATTCCACTTTTTTTTTCATTTTAAAGAAAATTTAAAAATACTAAAATTGTTTTATTAACAATAAATTAACAATGCATAATTTCAAAAGGTAATAGGATATCTATCGACAGTGGCTGTTATATTGTATATTCTGGTTTTTTGTTTATGTTGTATATTGTTACCTTCAAAATAGTTGTTTGAAAAAGAAAACAAAAAATAGGGCTGGCCAAATAGCTCAGCAGATTAAAGCACCTGCAAGCAGGTGCAGGGGCTAGGGGTTTGATCCCCAGGGTGCCGGCGCCCCACCCACCAGCCCTGCCTTCGGGGCGCACTGAGACAGCAAATGAGACTGGGATTGGTGGCTCGCACCCGACATCCCAGTTCTTGGGAGGCTGTAAACAGGCAGATCTCTACAAGTCTGATCTAGTAGGGAGACCTGAACACCCTGTAGACCCTTCCCTAAAATACAAATAAATAAATAAATAAATAATTGAGCCGGCAAGATAGCTCAGCGGTCTAAAGTGCCTACTAAGCAAGTGCAGGGACCGTGGTTCAATCCTGGCACCACATGCTAAGCCAGCCCCACCCCCATGGTGGGCTGAATGGGCCACAAAAATAAAGAAAGCATTAACTGTTGCTTTCAATAAACCAATAGAGGACTGGGAGATAGCACAGCAGTCTAATAACCACCTGCCTGGCAAGCGTAAGGTCCTGAGTTTGGTCCCCATTACTGCATGCCATGCTGGCCCTGAAACTGGGCCTACATGCCTCCCAGCACTGGGGAGACAGAAACAGGAGTATCTAAGTCCGTATCAACCACAGTAAGTAAATAAATAATAAACTGATAGAAATTAGTACAGTTATCTCAGCTATTTGTGTGTGTGTGTGTGTGTGTGTGTGTGTGTATGTGTGTATGCCTTCTTTCTTTTCTCCTTTTCCTCATCTCAGTTATTTCCTTTTTAGCAAAAAAACCAACTTAGTTGTTGCAGAGCACCAACATTGCCATTAAACTAGAATTATGAGGCTTTAGTTTAGGAAAAAATTCTACATTAACATCTCTTGGTGCTCACTTCAGCAGCATATATACTAAAATTGGAACAAAATATCTTTTGTATTAAAAGAAAATCACAGTAACATATATGCTGTAGCCTCACCTCCACTGGCTTGAGGACTAGAGAGCTGATTCAGTGGTACAACATATGTTCCAGACTTGAGATGTTCTGGGTTCCATCCCCAGCACTGTCAGTTAATAATTAATGTCTAAGTAAAAAATCAATAATGTATAAAGTCCAGATTCATTTTTACACAGCAAAATCTCATTGACTCTTTAAGGTACAAAAGTCATATGTAAAAAAAAACCACAGCTAATGTCTAGCTCAGTGGTTTAAAAGAAAAAAGCTTTTCCTCAGAGATAAAAAACAAGGATGCCTGTTCTTTTTTTTTCCCCTGAGACATAGTCTCACTCACTATGCAGTGCAGTCTGACCTGGAACTCACAGTGTAGCTCAGGATGGCCTCAAACTCACAGTGATCCTCCTGCCTCAACCTAGTAAGTGCTGGAATTACAGGTGTACACCACCACCAGCACAATATATTTCTGAAATTAACATGAATAATTAACTGCCTGCTTCTAGTATTGTGAATAGAGAATAATAACAGGAAAACTTTGTACTGGCTTTTTTTTTTAAGGCAGAGTTGCATTCTATGATTCAGGCTGGCCCTGAACTTGTGGCAGTCCTCCTGCCTCAGCCTCCCATAAAGCATTCTGGTGTTTTTTTCGTTTTGGGGTTTTTGGTTTTTGGGGTGTTTTTTTTTGTTTTTGTTTTGTTTTGTTTTGTTTTTTTGCCTTTTACAAAAAAAACTTGTGATATATGTTTAATTTTTTATTTTATTGAGAAATGAATAGCAATAAGATAGTTTCAAAACAGGTCAGTAAGACAATTACAATAATTAATACATTGCATATTGTTGTCTTCGTAGTATTCATAGTACAAGATGCAGACATGTATTTTGCAGGTTAATAATAAGCTTCTCTTCTGGAGGGTTAACAACCTAAGCAGTTCAGAATTGGAGAAGAGGAAGGGCTGCAAGGTCAGCCAACATTGTGGCCCTAGCCTTTCAAGGTCAGTGAAGACTCGGGACATAGGAGGACCTGTACTGTAACAACATGTAACTCAGTTGCGCTCCAAATTTTCTGATTAAGAAGATCAAGGAGCCACAGAGGAATGTGATCGATGATGTAAAGTATGCCTGGGGAGAGTAACATGGAGAGGAAAAACATTCTCTCAGGCTTTCACAGAGAGCAAATTGGTCAAGCAATGGCCGTGACTCATCCTCATGGCTGACACTGACAAAGGACCCACAAAGTGCAGTACAGGGCTACAGGATAAATCCGGAGGGGACTTGACTGACCTTATCAGATACAAAAGTTACATTTCTTGCTATATAGGTCTTGCTTTATCTTGGTCTTAACCATCCATCAGAAAAGTATAAAAATGAGGTATATAAAGCAAAGCCATATTAATACAGTGAGCTGTAAAAGGCTCAAGTCAATAACTTCTGAGGATAACCCACTAATAGTTGGATTGTTTAGCTGAATTCAAACACCTTAGTATTTAGATGACAATAGAATATTCACTTCTGACAGAACTAAACAAAAGGGGATACAAAGGAAAGATCATTTTGTATTTATATATACAAAATAGGATAGATATACCGCTACTTTTGCTTAATTCAATGAGAAGAAAGATGTGTACTAATAGTATTTGGACAGGATATCCTTTCTGCTTCTTGTACTATGGATAACCACTAAGAAGATAACAATGTACAATGTATTGACTATGGAAACTGTCCTATTATTTCAGCTTTGAAACTGTCTTACTCATATTTATTTCTCATAAAATAAAAAGATGCAGACATGATATCCTGTCTAGACACTATTAGGACAATTCTTTTTTCTCATTGAATTAAGAGAAAGTAGCTGTATATCTATCCTAACTATTTTCTAATAAAGCATTGTTTAAAAACTAAGACAAAAGTAACTGGGCTAAAATTGTAGAAATTTGTTTTACTCAATATAGTAATAGTTTACATCCAAATAATTACATGCCAAAGCAATTTTTTTCTTCCTGCTGTTGTGTTCTTCCAGTGATGAACTCAACTAGGCTCCCACAAACGGTACTGAGTGCCCTTTTGTGTTTAACCATTCCTGGGAAGGCCCTTGGTGGAGCCTTGGAAGCTATTCCCTGCCAGGTGAAAAGGCTTAGAATTCTGCACAGGTCTATCTGGCCCATGTCCCTTGGTAGTCAGTGGGCCCTGAGGCAGGGGCTTTGAGAGTGTGACTGGGTGTGCCTGGGGCCTGGGAGTCCTGATTTCAATCTCAGCTGCTTGAGCTTCTAGTGCCCAAGGCCTTGAACACGTGGTGCAGCCTCTGTGCCTTAGTCTCCTTTCTGGCAGCTCTGCCAGTGACAAGCACTCTGTCCGCTCCCATGCTTCTGCCCCACAGACAGAGTGGGAAGCCCTGGAGCTGACGGATCACCAGTGGGCCCTGGACGACGTGGAGGAGGAGCTCATGACCAGGGACCTGCACTTTGAGGGCATGTTCAAGAAGGAGCTGCAGACGTCTATCTTCTGAAGCCGCAGCTGGGAGCAGCTGTGTCGGGCACCTGAAGTAGCGCTTACCCTTGTACTTTGACTGGAGCTGGGGCCTCTGAGGGTAAAAGGAGGATGCAGGGGCTGGCGGGCGTGCAGCAGGGCTCGCTCTTGTCTGGGCTGAGCTCCCCTTTATGTTGGAAACTAGAGGACAGAGGAGTGTGCTGGAGCTGGCTATCCAAAGTGTTCTCAATGTTCCTTCTGGTGACTCCAGTGTGAAAGTCAGAGAAAGGGGAGACTCAGGCTACCAAAACCACATGGAAACTTAGCAAAAGTTGTCTTCGGAAGAAACATCACTTATAGCTGGTTTTGTGCAGTCCACCTGACTTCTAACCACAGTAAACTGTTTCCTTAGGATCCAAACATTTCTGTATTTACCTTTAATTTTTTGTTAGAATGTTTAATTCTCTTCATAAAAGTAATATGTTTCATTTCTAAAAATTTAGAAATTAGGAGTAAGCAACATGAATCTCCCTGTATTGTTCATTTTGAGCCCACAGACTGACACAGAGCATTGTGTCGAAACCTCGTTCACATAAGCCCCTCTCAGCGTGAATGCCCAGGGCCACCCTTCCTTCACATCTCAGTACCATCCAGTGAATGTCAGCAACCGAGGCACTGCCACACACCCAGGTGCCTTCGGGATCCTCAAAGACAGGTTGAGCAATATGAGTGCTCCCCCAGGTATGGCGGCACACACCTGTGAGAGCAGCACTCAGACGCTGAGACAGGAGGATCACCACAAGTTCCAGGCCAGTCTGGGCTCCATAGTGAATTCAAGGCCAGCCTGAACTACATAGCAAGACTCTGTCTCAAAACAAACAAAAAAAGAGTTCTTGATCTGAACTTTAGAATACATCAAACCCATTGGTGAATCCATGGTGCTGTACTGTAAAATGGTTATGCAGGTAGATGGAGACCATTTCCCAGTCATTGAGGATTTACCTGTCACTGGCAAGAGGGAGTGAGGGCGTTACTGGCAGACACATCAGTCCAGGTCCCCAGCAATGCCTTTGTCTAGACTCATGCCAGGGAAGTGGCCAGGTCTCCTTTTTATACCAAGAGGTGGATGTAATTTGCATGTTGAGCACTGTAATAAGGAACAAATGGCTCTTGACTGAATTAAACCGTCCTGTTTCTCTCCTTTGCCTGTGAGATGTTGCCTCTTTGCGTCACCTGCAGCCTCTGCCAACATCCCGGCCAGTACTGGAGGAGCTCAATGGAGGAGGGGCACCCAGCCCTCAGAACTCTGGTATGCAGGAGATTCTGGCCCAGTCACCATCACCAGGACAACACCAAGGAGGGGCCTCTGTGCGAAGTCACAGAGCTTCTGGAAAGCTGAGGGCAGGAGGCAAAGGAGCATCAATCACCTTCCTAAAGCAGACAGGCCCGATGGTGGTCTAGGAATCCTGGGAGAGGCTGAGGGGATGAAGTGCTGCTGGGTTGGAAGGGGCACCCACATGGGCAGAGTTGAGGGAGACGGCCCTGCTGTCCATGTGGGTAACTGGCCCCCACCTGCTGCATACTCCTGCTGGGCCCTTCCCTGGCTCCCCACCTGCCAGCAGTCACAGGTGCAGCGCATGGGGCAGGGGCTGGCAGAAAGTGAGACCTGAGGTCTCCCTGTGATCCCACAGGTCCACAGCAGATGGCAAGCCATCAGGGTGCTGGCTCATCCACACTGAAGGTCAAGTGTGGTGGTGGCTGGAAGCCCTCAAGCTGGCCTCATTCCATATATGTTAAATAGAGAGTAAAACAGGGTCTTGGTACCCTAACAAGTGCGTAAATGCTGCCACTTTGAGGTATTCCCAGGGGCATACATGAGGATGTGTTTTGCCATCTGCCAGCGATTACAGAAGCAACAGTGGAAAGCAGAGAGAAGGGCAGCTGCCTGTCAGTAGGTACCAGAGTTGAGAAGTGAGAAGATGTTTTTGCAAGAACTTACACAGATTTTTCCTAGTGGCCTTGCCCATAAAATACCATGTGGGAAGCAGCCATCCAACTAATCAGTGGACAGGTACAGTTCAGTAGCGTATATCCATAAGGTGAAATACCATGCAAGGAGCAGAGTTGAGCCACAACACATCTGAGTGACAAGACAGTCTCCTCCAGTGCTGGTAGTAGGATTTGAACCTTGGGCCATTCGGGGCTAGGTGGGTGCTTTACCATGGAGCCACTCTCCTACACCCTCTTCTGCAAAATGTCCAGAATTGGGTCAGTCGTTGATTGCCAGGGCTTATGAGAGGGAGGGTAGGAAGCGAGTCTCTTACTGGAGTAACAAGTTCTACCACTGTGACAAAGTACTTGTGATAAGTCAACTTACAGAGGACAAAATGTTGACTCGGGCTCCTGGTTTCAGTCCCTGGTCATCTCTTGCTCACCTCATGGCAGCTGGGCAGGACTGCAGGGCTTATCCTAATAGCTCTGCAAGGGCCACCACACTGACCTCAGCTCCCCTTGGTGTCACCAATCCTTTAACCATCTGTGGGGGTCCTCTACCTCCAAACTACAGCACATACCAGGATGTTCTCAAGCAATGTGAGGTACCTAGCAGGCACAAGAACTGCAAAAAATAAAGCAGTATAGTGAGGGGGGCTGACATGGGTGCATCCAGCAGTAGAGCACTTGCCTTGCATGCACGAGGACCTGGTTTCTGTCCTCAGGCCTGAAACAAGCCAAGAAAATCATCAGAATGTGACAGATGCACAAGACTGATATAATAAAGTTCAGCAGAGCACTTTTTTTTTTCAGTAGTGAGGATTGAACCTTGGACCTTTACACTGATATAAAGTGTCTCCTCATTCCCCTGGCATCCCATGGCATGCTGGCCCTGCCCCTGGGCAGGCTGAGCCGGTGATGGGGGGTGGGACTCCCAGTGGTGCACACCAGTAATGCCAGTGCTAGGGAGGCTGAAAACAGGAGAATCACTATGAGTTCAAGCTGCGCAGTGAGACCCTGTGCCAAATACATAAAAATAAGTAGAGTCTCACTAAGTCACTAGTTGCCTGGGGTGGGTTCAAACTAGTTATCCTTCCTCAGCCTCCTGGAATGCTAAATTATAGGTTTGTGACTATGCCTGGCATTGAATAGTCCACATTAAAACAGGTAATCTGGGGTCGGGGGGATGGCTTAGTGGAATAAGCGCTTCCCTGGCAAGCGCAAGGGCCTGAGTTCAATCCCCGGTTCCACAAAAAAAAAAAAAAAACAAAACAGGTAATCTGTATGAATTCGATCTCAAACCATTCAGAAAGACAGGTTGGCACCTGCTTAGACAAGCACAGGGAGCGGGTTCCATCCCCCATACTGCATGCCTTGCTGGCCCCACCCCTGGGCATACTGACCAGCCTTGAGACGGGCGTGGTGGCATGCCCCTGTAATCCCAGCACTAGGGAGGCTGAAAACAGGAGGATCAGTAGGAGTCCAAGCTTTGTAGTGAGACCCTGTGCCGAATACATTTAAAGGAGAGAGAGACAGGCGGTGGGGAAGGACCATCGTCCTACGTGGAGCGCTCCCATGAGCTAGGGGAGAGAGGCACTCTCCTAGGCTCCGCAGCCTGTGGGTGGAGGGCTGCAGGGAGCCACCCCAAACTCAGCCTCCTTTCCTGAGCTCCAGTGTTGTGGCCCTGGCCCTGCCACTCTCCCATCACTCCCAGCTCTCAGCAGCCCTGCCTCACAGGCGAGTGAACCTGGGAGATGGCATGGTTCAGAAACCGGTGCTATGTGCAGGACTGGCTGGCGGGCAACTAGCCAATCCCTTGCTTCCCCTCCTCAGCTCCCGCTGCTGCTCCCCCAGAGGTGGTGCTGGTGCCGGCCCTGTGCTTCCCTCCTGGTTCTTAGTGAATCTTCATTTTCAATGCTTTCTTCACAGAAGCTTTCAAACACATGAGTGGGAAATAATGCAGTGGATGCTCACATACTGATCAGCACACTTCAGTGTTCATTATTTTCTCCATCTTCAGCTGGCTTTGCACTTTGTAGCCCATGCTGGCATCAAACTAGCAGCAATCCTCCTGCCTCAGCCTCCTGAGTGCTGGGATTACAGACAGGCATGTGCCACCATACCCAGCTCTATTTTTACCATTGTATAGGCTGCTCCTGAGCCTACCACGGGGATACTGCCAGTTCCACTTCTGTGACAAGTCCATGTTCCTGTGTTCCCTGGGAGTCCTAAAGTATCTCCTTTACAGTGGGTTTGAGTGTGGGTCCTGACAAGGCTCACAGGTAACATTTGGTCGCTGGTTTTTTTTTTTTTTTTGTTTTTGTTTTTTGTTTTGTTTTTAGGGAAGGGTCTTCAGGGTGTTCAGGGTCTCACTACTGGATCGGACTCATAGCGATCCACCTGTTTACAGCCTCCCAAGAGCTGGGATTATAGGTGCATGCCACCATACCCAGTCTCAATTGTGGCAGGCCCAGGAATTGAACCCTGGCCCCTACGCCTGCTTGCGGTGCTTTAATCCGCTGAGCTATTTGGTCACTGTTTCTTACATCACTTCTATAAATAGTTCCTTTGCACCCCGCCCCTTTTTTTTTTTTTTTTTGGTGGAACCGAGGATTGAACTCAGGCTCTTGCCTTTACCAGGCAAGTGCTTATTCTACTGAGCCATCTCCCAGGCCCCCCTTTTTTTTTAATTCAAGTTAATCATCTGTTGAAGAAACTCTATTTATATTTTCTGTAGAACTCTGTGAGGACATTTTGTCTGAGTGAGAAATCAACCTTCAGATCCTCTCTGTCTTCAACAAAAGATGAAGAGGAACGCATTTGTGATAAATGCACAGATGAGGCAAGTGAGGCACCAAGCAACGCTGATAGCGAGGAAAAGCAAGTCTAAGGAAAGAATTATCGGATTAAAGCCCATGTAAGCAGGCGCAGGGGCTGGTGGTTTGATTCCCGGGCCTGCTGTGCTGGCCCTGCCCCCGGGTGCACTGAGAGGCAATTGAGGCTGGGGAATTAAGACTGGGCGGGGTGGCGTGCATGCGCCTGTAATCCCAGCTCTTAGGAGGCAGGTGAATCACTACGAGTCCGATCTGGTAGTGAGACCCTGAACACCCTGAAGACCGCTCCCTAAAAATAAAAATTAAAAATAAAGAGAATTATAGTCACAGTGTACTGTTTTCCCCAGGACAGTCTTGCTATGAGTCCTAGCTGGCCTCAAACTCTTGGCAATCCTGCTGCCTCGACATCCTGAGTGCTGGGATCATAGGCATGTGCCACCATACCCAGCTTAGTGCACTTTTTGAAATCAGCTTGAATAACTAACTGTTCACACTTCTAGAGTCCTAAATATAGGATAATGATAGGAAAGCAATGCAGGAAAAACAAAAGATGTAAGAGCTAAGTCCCTCTAGAGGTGTGGCAAATACCTGTAATCTCAGCACTCTGGAAGGCTAAAACAGCAGGATGCCAAGTTAGAACCCAGCAAGTTACTCCCTGTAGGGAGAGGAAGCAGGGTCAGATCTTCACATGCTCTCTAGAGCAGTCAACAGATGAAATGTAAACTGGAAAAAAAAATCTTATATTAGCAGTATAAGTCTGATGCATAAATGATTACAAAGGAAGATAAATGTAAAAATAGAAGAAATAATCAAAAATCCCAGAAAGAATTGAAAATGATTGCTTCAGAAATTGGAATGAGGATGACTGGGGAGATAGCACAGCAGCATACGTGCCCGCCAGGCAAGAGCAAGGTCCTGAGTTTGATTCCTAGCAAAAAAAAAAAAAAAAAAATGGAATGAATGATGGCATGCGGCACCAGCCCCACTCCCAGGGTGTACTGAGCCGTGACCAAGTCTGGGAGTGGTAGTGCATGCCTGTAATCCCAGCAGTGGGGGGACTTAAAACAGGAGGATCACTATGAGTCTGATCTGTGTAGTTAGACCCTGTACCAAATACATAAGAGAAAAAAGAAAAAGTTAGAATGAGGGCATAGTATAAGGAACCACTGATTTTAAAGTATGAGGGGCCTGGGAGATAACTCAGTAGTGGGGCCGGGGAGATGGCTCAGTAGGATAAGCGCTTGACTGGCAAACGCAAGGATCTGAGTTCAATCCCCGGTTCCGCCAAAAAAAAAAAAAAAAAAAAAAAGATAACTCAGTAGAATAAGTGCTTGCCTTGCAAGCACAAGGGCCTGAGTTCAATCCCTGGTTCTGCAAAAATAAATAAATAAAGTATGAGATTTAGTAGAAAAGATATGTGTATATTTTTTAAGATCAGGATTTTTTGAGCTGGGTGTAGTGGCACACACCTGTGATCCCAGCTCTTGGGGCTGAAGCCAGAGGATCCCTCCAAAGTCGAGACCAGACTGCGTTACACAATGAGTGCAAGACCAGCCTGAACTCCATAGTGAGAACCAGTCGAGAGAAAGAAGAAATACAGGGCCGGGGAGATGGCTCAGTGGAATAAGTGCTTCCTTGGCAAGCACAAGGGTCTGAGTTCAATCCCTGGTTCCACAAAAAGAAAGAAGAAATAAAAAAAGAAAGAAAGAAAGAACAAACAAATTTTAAAAGACAGATCAGATTTATTTAGTTGGTCTTCGTGGAGACTAAAGCCTGAGAAAGGACAATTGAAAGAAGACACCTGGAACCCTCAGCCTGGCTTTGGCTGGTTTGATGACTGTCACTTACCCAGCTGTCAGGGGCAGGGACAGCTGACAGAGCCTGCACCCTGCCCACCCACTCTGCCCTTTATTTGTTGCACCTGCAGCTCCAAGGTGCCAGCGAGCTGTTGAGTCGCACTTCCTTTGCTTTTTCTCTTTCCCAAGGGTACCCCTGGACCTTTGGGACCTTTGCTTTTTCTCTTTTCCAGGGGTACTTTGGGGTTAACTTCTGCTATGCCAGCCAGAACACCTGTCTCCTAGACTCAGAAAATTCAACCCAAAGGTACAGGGTCCTCATCTGCCTTCTAGGTCTTTTTTGAGGGTCAGGATGGTGTCATCTTTATCAAGTTGTAAAATTAGTTGCTATATGACCTTAAGCTTCAGCTTGCCCACTATAACATAGAGAACAATGTAACACATAGAAGGGCCAGCAAGATAGCTCAGCAGCTGCCACCAGGACCAGGCATGGTGGCACATGACTGTAATCCCAGTGCTGGGGAAGCTGAAAACAGGAGGATCACGGATAGGCATAATGGCACATGGCTGATTTTTTTTCTCTTTCTTTTTCTTTTTTTTTTTTTTTTCAGTACCAGGGATTGAATTCAGGACCCTGCACTTGCCAGGCAAGCACATATTCTACTGAGCTATCTCCCCAGTCCCATCTTTTTTGTTTTTGATGCCAAGAACTGAACCCAGGGCTTCCACCGTGCTAGGCAAGCATTTTATTGCTGAGCTAAATCCACAGCCCTGGTGCATGGCTGTAATCCTAGCACACTGGGAGGCTGAGGCAGGAAGATTGTAAATTCAAGCCCACTCTGGGAAATTTAGCAACTTAATAAGAACTTGCCTCAAAAAATAAATATTAGAGGGGCTGGTGAGATGGCTTAGTGGTCTAAAGCTCCTACTTAGAACAAGCTTAGCAAAGTACAGGGACCGAGGGTTCAACCCCCCAGCACCACATGCCAGCCAGCCCCGCCCCCTGGTGGGCTGAGCTGGCCACACACACACACACACACACACACACACACAAATAAATTTTAAAATAAATAAATAAATAAATATTAGAAAAGGGATGAGGAAATGACTCAGTGGCAGTGTTCTTCCTTTGCCTACATAAGGCCCTGGGTTCAATCACCAGCACCACATTCCCACCCTAGCTGGAAACAGGGCAGAGTGCAAAGGCCCTAGTTTCAATTCTCAGAACAAAAACAATAATGTGTGTGAGATGTGTGATGCAGCTGCCTGCAGGGTGACCTTGGTGCACTTGGGTGTGGACCCCCAACCATCATGAAGTCCTGGGGTCTCCAGGGTGACTTGGAGGCTGGAGCTCCCTGCTGGAGCTAGATGTCCTGGCCCACTCCGTGTACCTCCACTGACCTTCACCCTTTCCTCCAGTGTGCTCTTTCCATAGATCAGCTTTCACTTCAGCCTCTGGCCAAGGGATCCAATCACTCCTGCTTTTGTCTGGGATCTCAGAACTGTGCCAGTGGATGGCTGGAAACAGTGAGCTCAGTACCTGCCCTCCTTGAGAGACTAAAGTCTGGGGAGGCCCCAGGCCAGCTCCAAGCTGCTGGAGAGTCTGACATTTCAGAAAGGGCCATTAGCATGGGGGGACAGGGCAGGGTTGGGACTCTCCCACCTGGGGACTGCCTATCCTGCCTGGGAGGGCAGTGCAGTCGGGCCAGGTGCTGTGTGGCAGGTAGAAAGTTTGGAGCTAGCGTTTCCCCTTTTAGACATTCCCATCACAGATCCTGTACAGCAAAGCACTGTCCCAAAAGGGCACGCATAGTGTGACCACACTTGTATAAAAGGACACATTTGTTATTGCAAGCAGAGGGAACAGGGCAGTAGTCACAGCTGGTGCATTGGGGAGGGCAGAGTCACAGAGGCCTCTGCTAAGACAGCTTTTTCCCTAAACATTTCTGTGCTGCATGAATGAAGACAATCAGCGTATATCATTTCTACAATCCAAATGACTAAAGATGATTATTTGTGACAGTCTCCTATGTAGCCCAGGTTGGCTTCAAACTAACTCAGTGCTACTCCTGCCTCAGCCTCCTGAGCTCAGCTAAACAATTAACGTTCGATTAACAATCTACCCTGGAAGTTTCTCCAAGCCACTGAAGAGTCTGTGGGCTTTGGTGACACATACTTTGCACCTGCAGATGTCCCTGGATAGGCTGAGCTTACTGATGGACTCAAAGATCAGGCACTGTCTCAGTCACAGAGCATTTGATGGTGTCCATCTGACCTGATGACGCTAAGAACCATAGCGTTAAGCCGTAGCTCCTCTAGGAACTGATCCGCTGGGACGGCATGCCTGTGCACAGGGTGCGGGCGCCAGGATGGCTCCTGCCTAATCCCCCCCAAAGGCTGGAGACAACCTGAGTCCAAGCCAGAAAGGAGGAATTCTCAACAGCGTGGTTAAGAAAGGAATTAGATGAGTGGCTGTTTGCATAGAAAACGTACTGTGAAGAGAGAAAAGACAAGTTATTAAAACTGCACAGACAGCATGCTCCCGTTCCATATAGCACGTAGGAAGCTTCACTGAGAGGTCCGAAGGGCACGCGAGCCACTGTGGGCAGGACGCGCCCCGGGTGCGCGCGCTCGTCCCCGTGAGGATGCAGGTCCGCAGATCCGCAGCAGTGAGTTCCCCGTGGCGGGAGGTACACAAGTGGAGGTGAGGCTGTCCTGCCTGCGGGGACGCTGCAGGTTTTCCCCGCAGTCTTGGGCGATGACCACAGCCCTGCGGGGGCCCCCTAGGTATCGGGCGGAGGGGCTCCGAGTCGGGAAAGGGTTAAGCGGCCGCGGTGGGCGGGCTCGGATCGGATCGGCAGCGCCGGGCTCTGCTGGCCGTGCCTGAGCATCTCGGTGGATGCGGGCGTCGCAGGGACCTAGGTGAGGCTGGGCTGCGCGCCCAGGTGAGTGCCCCGACCTGCAGCGCCCACCCCGCCTAGACCCTGCGGGACGGCGCCGAGCCAGGGCAGCGGCAGAGGTAACGCACAGCCACAGCAGCCGGGCTCCAGCAGCGGCCGGCGCTGCCTGAGGACCCCACCAGGCCCGCAGTGGCCGGAACCAGGGTGCGGAGTGGGGTGGGGTGTGTGGGGGTGGCACGCTTGTCAACCAAGGCCCAGCGCAGCCTCTCCTCTTTGCACAGCTCCTGGGCTCCCCGGTGCAGGAGCCACAGCCGCAGGCTGCAAAGCCGGAGTGCGGCCACCCTTCAGGCTGTGTGACCTTGGGCAAGCTGATCAGCCCCTCTGAATCTGAGTTTCCTTCCCTTGAAATGGGTACGGCCCCTGTTGGGTCTCTGAACCCTTCCTTAAGGCTCACCCCCAGGGCCAGCCCTGGAGCCCAGGCCTCTCTATGGGTGGAGCAAAGCATGGAGCTTGGTGAGTGTTGGAAAAACGCATTAAGAAGCTCAAAGGCAGAGCCTGAATCCAGTTTTGAGGCCTAAGAGGTTTTTTTGACTTTATAAAATTGTCCACAAGCTTTGGTGAGCCTGGTATAGTCCTGGGTGCTGCCTATGGAGTTGGTTGTGTTTTCCACCGTGTCTGTGACCCACCAAGGGCCAGGAGCCAGGAGCTCTGGGAACCACAGCGGCCTCCACACAGCCTTTGCATCCTTGCCTGGCCTGGGCCTCCTCCCCTCTGGTCTATTCAGGGACAGGAAGTTTTAGTGTTATGTCCACTGGGGTACAGAGACCAGGGGCTGGAGTTGGAGAGATAGGAGCAGGGGCTGAGGGATGATTACAGCATGGCCAGGGTGAGCAGTGCCCAGGAGGGTCAGAAGGGGAAGCCTTCCCAGAGGGGGAGGCTTGTGTGCATTGACCCACCCACAGCGTTGCCTTACCGGAGCAGGAACACTGGCCTCCTCCCTACCTTCCAGAACACTAGTCAGACTAATCCAAACTGTGTCTCATCTTTAGTGATTGCCAGGGCCCTTGGAGTGAAATCCAGGTGCCAGGTGACCGGTGGCCCTCAAGTCTCCTTTCAGTCAAGCCCTACCTGTCTTCCTGATTGTCTGCTCCTTGGTCCTTTGTTTGCTGTGCTCCAGCCACATTTGTGGCTTTTGTTTTATTTTGTAGTAATGGGGATTGAGCCCAGGGTGTGATGAGCTACACTGCTTCTCTTTTTGGTTGTTTGAGACAGGGTCTCACCAAGTTATCCAAGAACTTGTGGTCCTCCTGAGCCCTGGGATTACAGACATGTGCCACTGTCCCCAGAGTGTTGTTTGTTTGCTTATTTGTTTGCTTACAGTACTGTTGCTTAAATGTAAGGCTTTCTCACTGAGCTCTATCCCAGCTCTTTCTCATTCAGCATTTAAAGAAATGTCCCTTCTACAAGGACTCCCAGCACGTCCCATGTGAAAGGGCTCTCATCTCTCCGTCTCTTCTTTTATGTTCTCCATAGCTTACTGTATGTAAAGTTATTAGAATGCCAGCTCCCCAGGGGCCATCCTGTCACCCTTGTCCATTGCAGACCCCTGGCCTTGTGAAAGGTACACATGCAACTCCCTGTTGAGCACTGATGGTGACAGAGGGGACAGGAAGTGCTCTGGATGGAAAGTGATCGCTACCATGCTGCCTAAACACCTGTGAGGCTGGGCCCTTTCCTGCTTCATTGGTTAAGCCACAAGAAGCCTCTTGAGGTAGGTGCTTATTTGGGAAAATGACAGAGCCATGACACAGAGAAGTAAGGTAACTCCCCCATAAATGCCCGCATATCTGTCTTCCAAGCCAGATACCTACCCTCTTTCTCTCCATCCATCTCCCAATAGAGCCAGGCCTTTATAAACAGGCTGCCAACAGGTGAAGGAGGCAAAGGAGAGGGAATCTAAACTGAGGGGCAGCAGGAGTATAGCACAGACTGTCAGGGGTTGGAGAATAGTTGAGCAAGCTGGACAGCCTGGAAAAGAGCTTATGTTTTCTCTTGAGGACAATGGGGAGCCATGGAAAGTTCTGAAGGTGTGCAAGTGGTGTCACCAGTGATGCAGGTTTTGAGGCTTTAAAGGCAGAGAGAAGCTGCTGACTGTTTCTGCTTTCTTTCCCCAGCCTCATAGGGAAATCCCATGATCCTAGCCCTCACTTAGCATCCCCTCTCTTCTGTCTTTCAGGCCTCTCCAGTGAGGACTGGCACTCTCGGGCTCCACACTGGGCACTGGAGTGGACCATGACTTCCCTGTTCCTGCTGCTCTTGCTGCTCCCATTCCTGGGGGCCAGTTCCACCCTAGACAGGGGTCTTCCCAGGCCCCTTGAAGACAAAGAACCCTACCTTGTCCCTGTAGCCCACGACGAGGGCCCTGTGGACTCAGAGCCCCAAGCCTCTGGCTTCCAGTGGCAGAGCCCCAGGCACTCTGATGGCCCCCAGCCCTCTACTGGGGGTGCCCAGAGGCCTGTTGGCTCTCCCCTGGGCCCAGCCCTGCCTGGGCCCCATGCAGTCCCTGGGGCTCCAGGAGCACAACTCCCCATGAAGGACAACCTCCAGCTGGCTCATGGGTCCAGCTCCCAGGGTTGGATGGGACCCCCTGACACCCAGGACTCTAGGGAGCAAGATGCACTTGCCCCTCTCCCAGTGGGTACCCCTCATCTCATAGTCACCCCTATACCTTCCAGCCTTCAAGTTGAGCCAGCTACAGTGCCTTCTGCCCCCCAGGAACTCCAAGGCCCAGTGGGGCAGTATCCACCTAGATACAGGGATCCCAATGCCAAACCCAAGAACAAGTCCCCAAAGGCTTCTCCTCAGGACCCCCCTCACCACACTCTCATGCACCACACAGGCTTTGTTGGGGAACCAGTCCTAGGAGGACAGGGTGGGCATGAGGGTGACTTCCAGGAGGTAGCCCAAGGCTCCCAAGCCACCCAGGATGACTCAGTAATCCCTGATGCCAGCTCTGTCTCCCCCACTGACCTCAGTGCCCAGCGAGGACCAGAACTAGCAAGAAGCCTCCCTCCTGCAGAGCCCCCAGAGAAGGCTGGTGCTGGGGACACCAGGGAAGTCAGCCCCCCAGGCCCCCAGCCTAAGCAGATGAACCATCCTGATGTCAAGGGTTCCCAAGAACCCCAGCCCACACACAGTGCAGCCTCAGAGGCTCCAGATGGGCAGCTGAAACCAGGTGGGCATCAGTGGGGTGCCAAGACAGGCAGTCAAGTGTTCCAATTCTGTGTGCCCTGTTTTCCCCTTCTCTCATTCTGACAAATGAAGGTGATCATGCCTCCCTCCTGAGGGAGTGTATTTGGGGTCAGACGAAGTGGTGACACCTTTTGTCATTTCAGAGATAGCAGCGATGAATGGAGCAGACCCCATCTCCCCGCAGCGGGTAAGAGGAGCAGTGGGAGCCCCAGGAACCTCCAAGTCTCTCATTCCTGGCCTCTCAGATGCTGGTCCAGCCACAAATGGAACAGAGAGCCCTGTGAGGGTCCTACAGCCAGGTGAGGGCATGGCTGAGGGTTTGGGGAGAGGGAGGCCTATGTCCTATAGCCAGGAACCTGTGTGAGGGGCCAGAGACCAGGAGTGGAGACACATACCTGCTTAAAGGAACTGGCCAGGACCTCGGCATCACTGAGGAGAAACAACAGAGTCCCCAGCTGCTTCTGGAGAAGGATAAGCCCTTTTGGGGCCAGAGTATTGTTCTGTATAACATGGCCATGTCTAGTGCCGTGATTCTCCACCTCTGGCAAATCACTGGAAAACCTTTTAACATTTTCAGCCATGTATGGTAGCACACACCTGTAATCCCTGCACTTGGGAAGCTGAGACAGGAGAATTACACATGATCTTAGCCAAAAGGCCGAGAAGCGATGAGACAGGAGAATTACTGTGAGTTTGAGGCCAATTTGAGACACACAGTAGTAATTTCAAGGCCAGACTGAACTACATAGTGAGAACTTGTCTCAACAGACAAACAAAAACAAAAAAGACTTAGTCCTAACAGGGTGCTGATGCCAGACACCATGTTAAAGTGACTCCATGAGACAGGTGTTATTAGTGCCACTTGACAGGCGTGCTTGGAAAAGTTAAAGAATACACAGTAACACTACAGAAAGCTGAGGAATCAAAATTACTTTGCAGAGACTATTTTAATACTGTTGCTATTGCAGATGAACCCGAGGAGTGGCCTGGGCGGCCCCAAAGCCATCCCCCAGCACCCCCAGTCCAGGCCCCCTCAACATCACGGCGAGGCCTCATTCGAGTCACCACACAGAGAGCCCTGGGCCAGCCCCTGCCTCCGGAGCCCTCTGCCAGTTCCATGGCTTCTGCCCCGGCTTCCAACCCCCCAGCCAATGCCACGGCACCTCCTCTGCGCTGGGGGCCCCTGCGGAGGGTGCTGAGCTTTTCCTGGGAGCTGCATGTATATGGAGTGGGAGTGCTCTTCTTGCTGCCAGCCTTACTGGCCCTCGCCACACTGGCTGCGGCCCTGTCAGGTCCCCGGCTGGCCCTAGCAGCCTCCCTGCTGGTGCTCCTGGCTTCTGGGTTGCGCTCGGCATACATGCTCACTGACCCTTATGGCTCACAAGCACGGCTGGGCGTGCACGCCGGCCTGGTGCTCTACGACCTGCCCTTCCCCTTGTTGCTCACTGCCCTGGCAGCCCTGACCCTGCTTGGTCTGGGTGCCGGGCTACCACCGACACTGCAGAAGCCTTTACTGCTGGGGACCTTGGCCCTAGTGCACTGTGCTGGGCTGCTCACTGCAGACCTGCTATCCGCAAGGCCTGCACTCAACCTCCTGGTGCAGGGCCTGTCTTGCGCCTGGGGTGCATCTGTGGCTCTAGGCACGCTCTGCCTGTGCCGGCGCCGTTTGCTGGACGCACCTCGGGGCTGGGACGCCAGCCCAGGCCCACGCTTGCTGGCTGTGGCGGGCTCACTGGGGCTGCTGGCCAGTGGACTGCAGCTGGCCGCCTCGCTCTGGCTGTATCCGGGCCCTGGCCAGGTGGGCCGCTTCTCATGGGCCTGGTGGGGCGTGCACTTCTGGCTGCGCCTACTGGAGCTGACCTGGGCACTGGCACTGGCACTGGCTGCAGTGGCCGCCGTGCGTCCCCGGCCACCCACCGAACATGCTTGTTGGGCGAAACTGCTGCGTCTTGCGTGCCCTGTACCGTCAGGCAAGAGTGAGGTGCCCGAGCGCCCCAACAACTGCTACGCGGGGCCCAGCGGCCTCAGCCAGGGTGGGCTGGACATTAGCAAGAGCCTCATCCGCAACTCGGCAGAGGGAGGTCCGCCCGCCACGCCCAGCTCAGGTGCCTGGGGCTCAGCTGTGTCGCTGGGTCGCGGTCCTCCGGGTGGCTCGGGACGGTCCCGCAGCAGCGTGGGGAGGGCACCATCACTAAGTGAGCTGGACCTGCGGCCGCCGTCGCCCATCAACCTGAGTAGAAGCATCGACGCCGCGCTCTTCCGGGAGCACTTGGTGCGGGACAGCGTGTTCCGGCGCTGCGGCCTGCGGGGCCTAGCCTCCCCACCGCTGCGGGTCCGCCGGGGCAGCCACCCGGACGCCGAGCCCGACCCGGGATGCACGCTGCTCCGCACCCGCTGCCGCTCGCTCAGCGATGTCCGCGGCCCGGGGCCACAGCGCCTGGCAGATGAGGCCGGCCACACAGCAGCCTCTGGCAGCTCCCTGGACAGCTTCTCCCGGGGCTCACTCAAGATCAGCTGGAACCCGTGGCGGCACGGCCTGTCATCAGTGGACAGTCTACCGCTGGAGGAGCTGCCTAGCACCGTGCAGCTCCTACCTGCCCCGGCCCCGCCCCCGCCCCCGCCCCCGCCCCGGCCGGAGGTCCCTCCACGCCGCAAAGCCGGGGATTCTCGCAGCGCATCCAGCGACACCATTGAGCTCTGAGCCGTCCACTGAGCACAGCCAGCTGCCAGGACAGCCAAGCTTTACACACTGGCGACCTTGGCCGGAAACAGCCAGGCGGGAACCCGCACTCAAGCTTTTTAAAAAATATCTCTATTTTTTTCAGCAGGTATTTTGCACAAAGGCCGTGACTTACACGGAGTACAGGGTGGTGGGCATGGATTTGGGCATGGGGAGCAGGGACCACACGACTCCCCAGTATGAAGGGAGGAGCCGCGCTTGTCCAGACTGCCCTCTTTGTGCCAAAGAAATAAACCCGAAAGTTTGGCTCCAGCCTTCCTCCCATAGCCCCAGTATGAAGGCCTGAGGCACTGGGGGTGGGGGTTGAGAGAACTGCTCCAGCATTTGGTAACTGCAGCTATCACTGTTTTGTGGCCTACCTCATGCAGTTCTCATCTGCCCTGGAGTGCAGAGTCCCCTAGCCCGTGGTAGAAATCACAATGTGGAGGCAGTGGTCACACACCCAACGTCCTCCTGCAAATGACAAGTGGGACTGACTGCATAAACTTCCATTCCTGAACTGCTCATCTGCCCCAACATCTTTCAGAGACATCTTCCCTCCTTAGGCAGCTGTCATTTTCCCAGGATTTTAGAAAACTTTCCCAAAGTGGTAGGGATGGGGGGAGGGCAATAAGACAGAAGCTTCTCCATTTTTCCAGAACTTTATTTCCTGAGATGAATAAATAAGTCAATGGCTGAAGGAGCAGGTGAATACAGATCAGGAGCTGGCAGCATGCAGCTGGCAGGACAGGGCTGTGGTGGCCCACCCCTGTAGGGCCCCCCCTTCCTGGGCAAGGGCCAAGGCTCACTCAAGCCACCAAAGGAGAAGCAGTTTCAAAATTCACACTGTGTGGCCTATCCAGTCCTGTGAGGTAAAGATCTGGTGGCAGCCAGCTTCCAGGCTCTTACCCCCAAGGGCCACACATGCCCAAGCCAGATGCTGAGCTGACTGTAGGCGGGCTGGTCATGTCATCCCACCTCCAAAACAAACCAAGTGGCCCTGAGTGTCCAGCCCAAGGGACACCGACCTGAGGGCTGCCTGGGAGGGAGGTCCCAAGTATGGTGAAGGCATTATCTGCCCTTGATGAAGCCTTCCAGCACACGGTCACTGCGCTCTGACAGCCAGTAGCCAGTCATGGCCGCCACAGCCCCGATGAAGATGGCTGTGAAGACCAGGTCGCCCTTGGCAGCGAGTGTGGCCAGCGCACAGATGATGACACCAAAAAACATCTGCTGCAGCACGACCAGCTCATCTTCTGTCATCTCTGAGAAGAAGCCCGCCGACTCTGTGAGGAAGAGGCAGCCTCTCATTCCCAGTCCACCTCACACAGCCAGCACCAGCCTGGTGCAGCAGGCACAGTGAGCGAGGGATGAAGGGAGTCCCACCACAGGACTGGTGGGTCCATGTGACCTGGGGGCCAGCTCCAGAGCCAGGGGCCCACTGTGAATGCCAGCTTTGCACCTTGCTGCCATGCAACCCTGGGAAGTACCTTGGCCTGTCTGCATCTTGGTTTCCACATATGGACTACAGGGTACAAACAAGAGTCTCTGTGGGGCTGGACTGTTTTAGGGTGCTGATAGGTGACAGATGGAATGTGCTTGGAACAATGTGACACACAGAAAGAGCTGTGGCTGTGGTCTCTGGTCTTCACTAACCCCTTGATCTCAACACATCTGTGGCCTACAAAGGCTCTCAGGAACCACTGCAAGGATGGTGCCCTCTGGAGAGGAGGCAACAACAGATCCAGGGAGGCACAGTGACCACTTTCTGTCCCTGGAGTGAGGCTACCAACGGCCGAGCTAGAGAGCAGACTCGCCTGGCCCTCTGTAGCCCCCAGGGGCTAGGTTGTCACTGCTGCCGCCACTTGGAGCAGGGGCTCAGCTGCGCTTCCCCAAGGACCTCCCCACTCACCTGGGATCTGCTCTTTCACACAGACGCCTTCAACCTGCTTGTAGCCCTCGGTGCAGACACAGTGGTAGCCGCCCTCGGTGTTCTTGCACTTCTCATTCTCCCCTGGACACACCACTGTTTCACATTCATCCACATCTGGGGGAGGGCGGTGCAGAGGCAGGGTCAGTACCTCAGCCCTCTGACTGCACCCTGCCCAGCACCACCGTTCCACTTCTTTCCCTGCCTCTGCCCGGAAGCCCGAGGGCAGACTCACCGAGACACTTGGAGCCCACCTGCTGGTAGCCAGGGCTGCACTTCTTGCAGCGTCCTGGCCCTGCTCCCATGCAGCCCAGACAGGCCTTGGCACAGTCTAGGGAAAGGAGACATGAGGTGGGAGTCTCCCAAGACCAGCAAGCAATCCCAGGGCTCCAGGGCCTGAGAGGTAGCACTCTGCAGAAATAGGCAGGAAGCTGCCACACGCCCCCTGCAGGAGTGGACACTAACCTCGGCACTCATAGGCACCTTCAGTGTTCACGCAAAACTGGTCAGCTCCGCAGCTGGCTCGCTCAGTGCCACACTCGTCGATATCTGCAGAGAGCAGGACAGGGTGGGAACTTCAATCCCTACTGAACTAGCAAGGAAGCCAAGGCCAGGAGGCTGCAAGCCACAGACTGCAGTCTCCAGCCTCTTTGCAGCTGAGTGTATGGACTGGCCGTGGCCCAGAGGCATGAACAGAAGCAGTGTGCTCCATGCTTGGCCTTAACTGTCTGATCCTGCTCCCATCCTGAGCACAGTGCCATGACTGGGCATCAATCGTGGCAGTGATGCCCAAGGTGGTGACTATGCAGGAAGACAGAAGGACCCTGAGTGACTATGACAAACAAAGCCCTTGCTGGACTGTGGTCTGAGGGGAAAAAATCAATCTCTATTCTCTATGTTACTGTCTTTTAGGAACATCTCTGTCATACCCGCTCAGCCTTCACCCTTGTCTACACAAGTGGAGGCAGGGACCCAAATCCAGACCCCCATTCCTCAGGCGAATCCTCCTCTACCAGTCCTCACTGCCACCTCAGGGAGTGGCAGCCAGCATGCCTGCAGCCCAGCAGCTGGCTCTGCAATGAGACCCACTTACCCACACACTTGAGGTGATGCAGGGCCCAGCCCTTCCTGCACTGCAGACAGTGTGACTCCTCAGGTCCTGAGCAGCGGGCACAGGGGCCAAAACAGGCTGCAGGGGACAGGGACAGTATAAGGATGGACAGCAGGTGCCCTTTCTGCCCCATCCAGCACCAGACCTGCCAGCTACCTACCCAAACATACCAGATGGCTAGCATTGCGTTCTGCCTCAAAGTAGCCAAGACCACACTGGCCACAGGCCTCGCCCCCATAGCCAGCTTGGCAGTCACAGTGTCCGCTGCCCCCTCGGGTCCCTTCCCCTTGGCACTGACCATAGCCACCACAGGGTCTCTCTGTGCCTCCCGGACAGGCTGCAAGTAGACAGCAAACTGGATGAGTTCACATATACAATACTGACAAACAACAGAATATGTTCTACATATTGCTCAACAAATCTGTAAAGAAAATTAATTTCAGTCAGATAAGTGGTGCACACCTATAATCCCAGCACCCTGAGAGGCTAAGGCAGAATTATGAGTTCAAGCCAGCCTGGTCAACTTAGCAAAATGCTGTTTTAAAATTTTCAAAAGAGACATGAGGGGCTGGTGAGATGGCTCAGTGGTCTAAAGCACCTACTTGAAACAAGCTTAGCAAAGCACAGGGACCGCGGTTCAATCCCCCAGCACCACATGCCAGCCAGCGCCGCCCCCTGGTGGGCTGAGCTGACCACACACACACACACACACACACACACACACACACACACAAATAAATAAGTGTTTTAAAAAAAAATGGGGGCCGGGGAGATAGCTCAGTAGAATAAGCGCTTCCCTGGCAAGCACAAGGTCTGAGTTCAATCCCCGGTTCCACCAAAAAAAAAAAAAGAGACATGAATGTAGTTCAGCATCACAGTGTCTTCTGGCAAGTGTGAGGCCCTGAGTTAGATTCCTGGTACCAAAAAAGAAAATAAATAAAAATTTAAAAATAAAAATTAATGGGGTGGGGATGCAGCTCAATATGAAGGCCCTGGGCTCAATCCCCAATATAGACAGAAGCCAATCAAGCCATCAATCAATATCTCACAAAGGCTAGAGATATAGCTCAAGGTCCTGGGTTTTATTCCCAATACCAACCAAAAAATTTTAAAAACATGTTATGTTGTCACTTAATCAATATTCTACTGTGGATCCAATTAGGTTGTCTAACAATTGCCTATATGTGTATATATGTTGCTGGGGCTTCAATCCAGGGCCTCAGCAAGCGCTTCACCACTGAGCTATACCCCTGCCTCAAATCTTTCTTTCATAAACTGAACTGACCATCTTTGTAGCTAACTCTTTATCTGTAGTTATAGGAAAGACTTTTCAAAAAGGAGTAAGTCAAGCTCCTGTCAGGGTTGCAGGTAGAGGATGGTGACCTTACAAGCTTCAGACAGTCCCAGCCCCTCAGAAGAACCTGGGGACAGAGGTGGCCTGGAGGCAGCACCTCCCTTGCCAACAATAATAACCATACCAGCTCTGGACTCAGTCCAGGCAGGCCCTCTAGCACTTTCAAAGCCCTTCCCCATGAGGCAGGTGAGAGCTGAGGTCCAGAGATGCCAGCCAGAGAGAGAAGGAACTAGACCTCTGGACCTCTGGTCTCAGTGTCCCACCCACCCTCAAGAGGACTGAAGAAACTCACGAAGGCAGGAAGGTCCGAAGGTGCCAGCAGGGCAGCAGAGCTTCAGGGAGTCTGAGCAGAGCCACTGGGAGAGGTCAGGGGCTTCCTGCTGCCTGAGGCAAGGGAAGGCCAAGTAAAAGGGAGAAGCACTGACTGGGTTCACAGATGCTGCCCATCCCACTTCCCAAAAAAATCTGCCATTTGGCCTTTTTTTTTTTTTTGAAACAAGGTCTCGCTATGTAGCCCAAGTTGACCTTGAACTTTTGGCAATCCTCCTGCCCCAGCCTCCCAAGTGCGGGAATTATAGACATGTGCCACCACACCCAGCCAACTGTCCATCTGGAGTGTATGTTCCAGAAGGCCACCTGACCAATGTCCTCTGCCCATCTGACAGACAGGTAAACAGGCTCAGTGTGGGAGCTTAGGTGCCTCAGAAAGTCCTCAGAAGATCTGACTTGGGAAAGCCCCAAGCAGGCTCTGGCCCCCGTGCATGGCCTTTCTTCCCAGGAGGGCCCTTGCCACTCACTTGTGAAACCACCAGCTCTCCATCAACTCCTCACTCAGCTCCAGCAGGCGGTGGCACTGGAAGTCCGACTTGCTGCACACACCTTCCAGCACCTCTACCAGACGGGTCTCACTGAGAAAACAGCAGGACTGGTGGGAACATGCCCATTCCTCACCTCCCCACCTCAGATCTCTCTCCACCCTTCTTCAGGCCCCTGACAAAAACACAGGAGAAGCTATGGGCAAAGAGGTAGTGGGACTCACACACATCTGGGTTCAAATCTAGCTGTGTAAACCTGGGCAAGTCACTACACCTCTCTGAAACTCATTCCCACATCTGTAAAACGGGGAGAAGTCTCTTGTGCAAATCTGTTGAAAGATACTTCAGTTCCAGTTGAGCATGGTGACCCACACCTGTAATCCCAGCACTGGGGAGGTAGAGGCAGGAGAATCTCTGAGTTCAAGGCGAGCCTGGGTCACACAGTGAATTCAAGACAAGTCTGAACTACATAACAAGACCCTCAGAAAAACAACAACAACAAAAACCCTATAAAAAATACTGTAGTTCCCAAATCCAAATAATTTACCCTTATTGGGTAGATATAATTAAAAATATCCCGGGCTGGTGAGATGGCTCAGTGGTCTAAAGCACCTTCTTAGAACAAGCTTAGCTTAAAGCACAGGGACCGCGGTTCAATCCTCCAGCACCACATGCCAGCCACCCCCGACCCCTGGTGGGCTGAGCTGACCACACACACACACATAAATAAATAAATAAATAAATAAAATTTAAAAAAAAGAATATCCCAAAGGGCTTGGGGCACAGCTTGTTTATACTGCTTGCCTGACATGCATGAGGCCCTGGATTCAATTCCCAGTACCACCAAACACACACACACACACACACACACTTGTATCATAAAATAAGTGCTGTCAAGGAGCCAGAGAAAAACTGGACCCTTAGGAATTCTTACATCTACACTGCATGTGGAATGCAAATGGTACAATCACCATGGAAACATAACTTATCAATGCCACTCTTGGGTATATGCCAAAAGAATGGGGAGATTACCAAGCAGAAATCTGCACCCAGAAGTGCATAGCAACAATATTCACAACAGCCAAAGGGCAGAACAACCCCAATGTCCATCAAATGAATATTTAAATAACACAGGACATCCATTCAATGGGATATTATTTTACTTATAAAAAAGTAATGAAGTAAACAGGCATACTAGTGCATGCTGGTAAACCCAGCTATTCAGGAAGCTGAGGCAGAAAAACTACATATTCAAAACTGGCTTAAGCCATTTAGAGTGAGACCCTATCTCAAAAAGAAATGGAGGCTAGAAATGTAGCTCAGTAGCACAGTGTTTGTCCAGTATGTGTCAAGGCCTGGGTACAATGCCCAGTACTAAAAAAACAAATGAAACAAAACCACACAGTGAGCCAGGCATGGCGGTGCACACCTGAAATCCCAGCACTCTGGAGGATTAGGCAAGAAGAGTGCTGCAAGTTCAAGGCTGGCCTGGTACATAGAGAGTTCAGGGCCAGCCTAAATTAAAAAGTGAGATACAAAAACACCCCTCAAAACAAAAACAAAAAACTTTCCAAGGGCTTCCCATCACACGGAGAAAAAGTCTAAACTCCTGCTGGAGTCCTCGTCTCCCCCCTGCCAACATACACACTTTACTCACTCTACTCCAGCCACTTCTCAGATCCACCAAGCTCAATCCAATCCCCCTCCCCCCCCAAAAAAAATTCCTTTCCCACTCATTACACCACTGTGTCTGCACTCAGGCCTCTGTTCACATGCCACAGTATGAACCTCTTGCCTCCTACTCTGTGGCTTTCTTTTCAGTTCTTTAGGGACATAACACTATTTATGCATTCACTGGTTGTCTCTACTACGACCTAATGTCACAAAGACAGGTTGCTTCTTGTTTGCTGATATGCTACAGAGGTCTAGGGACAGCTGCAGATTGAGTGCCCCCCAAAAGCCCCAGCCCCAACCAGCTGAGCAGAAACGGGACGGTAGAATATACATGTCTCTTCCCCCTTCTTACCTATCTTTGTATTTGGATAATTTCTCTTCCTCCCAAGCAGTGTTTCCACCTCCAAAGTTGTCCCGGATCGTTCTCTCCAGGCCCTGTCCACGTAGTAAACTGTCAACAGCTGAGAACAGAGCCTCGCCCCATCCATCCCCTGTAGCACTTCACTATGCCACTGACCAGGAAATGGGCACTGACAGGTAACCATCCCACATCCACACAGCCGGTAAGCAGCCAAGGCAGGCTTAGATTCATGCACACTCAAATCCCGGGGCTCCCAACTCTTCCCTTTGGGGCTGAGCCTGGCTCTCCCTCGAGGCGCTGAGGCACCCACCTTGTTGAAGCTGTCTACCAACGCCCGGCACGTATGGCAAGGGTGGGGCTCGGGCGAGGGAGGAGAATGGGGCGGTGGAGAGGGCTGGAGCCACACGGGGCCTGGGAGGCTGAGGAAGAGGTTCAGGCCCCAGAGCAGAGCTGAAACTAGGCCCCTCGGGGGCTGTGGGGCCATCTTTTCCCAGGCTGGGGACCTGCGGACAGAGGATGTGGGCAGGGCTCATCAGAGGATTCAGGCTGCCGCTGAGATAGGGGAGCGCAGGCCCGCCGAACTGCCAGTGGAGAAGGGGCGGGAGTGGGGTGGGGAAAGGATCTACAATTCCAGAACAGAAGTTATCCCCGTTACCCGTAAGGGAGGTGGCCTGAAGGGGCAAAATTCTGCCCACTGTTTTAGCGTCTCAATAATTTATCAGGAGCCAGGTCAGCAAAATCTGAGAGAGAGGGTCAGATTCCACATTTTGCGGCAGAAGAAACTAGACGGGCGTTTTTGGGATAGGACTCCGAAAACCCGGTCTAGGAAAAGCGCGGATCGGGATATGTAGAGAAGGGGTCAATTTCGAGGCTCACAGGCAACAAAGGGACCGCCCAGGGGCCCGCAGCGGACGATCCAGACCTGCTTAAACCTCGGCGGAGGAAGACAGACCCACCCCAGCCCCCAGGCGCCGACTGCGGCCTCCTCCGCGCCGCTGCCGCTTGCGCAGAGCGTGCAACCTCCGACCGCGCCGCAGTCTGGGGGTTGGGTCTGTCTTCCAGCCAATGGAGGAGAGCCATGTGCTGAGGCGTCATCTCACGCCAGCCAACCAGAGGCAGCGCCAAGCGAGCGGCACCTGTCCCAGCTTTAAAGGGGCGGGGTACGCGACTGCCCCAGTCAGCGGCCGGGACGCAGAGGCCAAACGCGGACGCGGTCGTAGAAAACCGTTTCTGCTTTATTCAAGTCCCGCCCTCGGGCCCATCTCGAGCAGCGGGGGGCCGGAAGCAGCTGTCCAGGACTGGCCGAAGGGCGCAGGCCACCTGCTCCACGCTGTCCTCCAGCCGCCTGGGGCGCGCGGTGGTAGACCCATGCAGGGCGCCCAGAAAGCCGCGCAGCTGCGAGGGCAGGGAAAAAAGCGGCGCGGCGCGGAAGGGCGCGGGCACCGCGTCCGGCGCCAGCAGGCCGTCGAAGCAGGCGCCCACATAGCGGCCCGGCGCCCGGCCCTGCAGGAAGTCGGGCAGCACGCAGCTGAGAGAAGCAGCGAAAGAATCGTGCGGGCCATGCACTTCCAGCACCGGCGGTTCGCCCTGCAGCCACTCCCGGCACAGAGCCACGGCGCCGGGCGAGAAGAGCAGCACCACCACGCCGCGCTCCTGTAGGGTCTGCCGCCGCCGCGCGTGCAGCCAAGCCAGCGGGCCCTGCGCGCTCATCTCGCGCCGGCTCCAAAGGTCCACGGCCACGCGCAGCGGTATCCGGCTCAGCGCCGACGCCAGCGCGCCCACCAGACGCTCAAAGGCCGCATTATCCGCCGAGTAGAGTAGCAGGGCCGCGCGGGCCCCGGGGGCAGCTGCGGGAGAGAGCAGAGGACCGGTGGGGTGGGGGAGGATCCCGCTGCCTCTAGGGGCCTCAGCCACTCTGGCCTAAGGCAGGGACAGGTGGGCACTTACCTTTCCCGCGGTCTTTATGGAGGAGGAGCAGAAGAAGAAGCGCAGCAGCAAGAAGCAGGCAGGCCAGCCACACCAGTGCCCAGCGCTTGTGGACGTCTGCAAGCCCCAGGAGGAACACAGGCTGTTAGGACCCCTTGCACTTCACCCCGCTTAGAAGAGAAAAACGCTCGGGCTCAGACAGGAGCTAATTGCCCAAAGTCCTTGGCACAGAGCGTCAGACTATGTCTGAACATGCATGACTTGGGATAAGTGACTTCTGCCTCTGTTTTACGTCAGTAAAATTGAAATGACACTACTACCTACATAAACCACTGAACATAATACTGAGAGTCCCAGGTGCTCAACTGCCAGCTAGTATCCTCCATAGGCCTGAGACTGCCTTGACTGCGGTGTCGCGGGACTGCGATAGCCTTCCAACTGGTATCCCTGGCTTTTTCTCCCCTCATCTATTCACAATTCTGGCAGCTGCAAAGATCTTAAAATGCAAGTTTTATTATAACCCTTCAGGAACTGTATGGCAGGGCATGATAGTACATCATCTTCAACTAGGCTGGAAGAGGGTTCAAGGCCATTTAGGCAACTTAAGGAGACAATGTCTCAAAAAGGGCTGAGGGTGTAGTTTGGTAATGGAGCACATATTTAAGTGTGCAGAAGGGCCTGCATTTGGTTCCCAATATCACCACAAAAAAGGCAACTCTGCTCTCTTCCAGAGCTAGAAACTCCGGAGTCCACATCCCACCTGTCAGGCTTGCCTGGTCCACATTTACAGTACCAGACACTTAAGAGTGCTTCAATGGTGCAGGCCTGTAATCTCAGAACTCAAGAAACTGGAGCTTGGTGTCGCTGTGAGTTCAAGGCCAGCCTGCACTGTGCACCCTCTCTAAAAAAAAAAAAAAAATCCAGCTCCCACAGGTGGAGAAAGAGTAGCTTTCGCAATACTCACACTTGTCCACTGGGCAGGCCCACAATGCTCGTATGTCACCATCCCACAACTGTAAGACACAAACCCAAGTTCTGAGCCAGCCTGAGCTCCAGATTCTTAGCCCTAATTATGAATATGTCCCACACCATGGAGGGTTACCTCAAGCTGCCTGCTCTGATTAAGTCATGTGTCCTTATTGTTTGTTTGAAATTCGTTTTTGTTTTTTCAGATAGGGTCTCTCTATGTGGTTCACACTGGTCCTGAACTCACTATATACCTAAGCTGGCCTCAAACTTGCAGGGACTTCTGCCTCGGCCTCCCGAGTACTGGGATTGCATGCCAGCATGGCAGGAGCACCTTCCTTGAAACTCTCTCTGGAACCAACACTTTTTTTTTTTTTTTTAATTTTTATTTATTTGTGTGTGTGAGTGTGTGTGTGTGTGTGTGGGTGGGTGGCCAGCTCAGCCCACCAGGGGACGGGGCTGGCTGGCATGTGGTGTTGGGGGATTGAACCGCGGTCCCTGTGCTTTAGCTAAGTTTGTTCTAAGTAGGTGCTTTAGACCACTGAGCCATCTCACCAGCCCCTGGAACCAACACTTAGCACGTATGAATTTGTTTATTTGTGCACTGTTCTAGCCAGCAATGAGCTCTGTGGGTACAAGAACTGTACTTCCTTTAACTTCCTCAGGGCTGGACATAAATAAGGGTAGACAGTAGGTAAGTGCTAGGTGTAGGCATATTGTTCTTGGCAGTGGGCAGGAGCCTCCTCCCAGCTACTCACCTGCAGACAATGGCCTGCGTGTAGGTCTTGCAGCAACTGCTCTCCAAGGCGAGCTGCCCTCTGCCAAGCCAAGGGGTAAGGGCTGTCACCTGGGGGAGACTTCCAGACTACAATTGGGGGAAGGGCTGGGAGACTCATTGGCCACTAGACAAGGCCTAGGATGAGTTACACACGCACACACACACACACACACACACACACATCATCATCATCATCATCATCCCAGGACCAGCACGGAGACTCGGACAGAGTAGGGGGAAATGGATGGAGTGAAAATGAGAAGCCAGGTTTGAGATGGAGCTACAGAGGTCATTGGAAGAAGGTCCCCCGGCCCTCACCGTGGCAGCCCTGCTGGGCAGTGGAATACAGCCACTGGGTTCCAAGGCACAGAATGATCTGTTTTCCTGCGGGCCTTGGGTCTCCACCAGCAACACATCATCCTTGAGGGGCCCTAGGGAGTCTGGGAGGAGTGAGAGAGCACTCAGCCTAGCCTAGCCTTGCTGGAAGCTGCCACAGGCCCCTCCCACGCCCTGACTCAGCCCTCCAGGGAGCACCCCAACTATAGCAGCCCTGCCCCACCTGCCCCAGGCACCACTCACCAGACCACAAGCACTCCTGAAGCTGTACCTTATCCCAGCTGCGCACCTGTCCAGAAGGAGCCCGAGGAAAAGCAAGAGCCACACTTGAAGGTGCAGGCAAGAGAAAGACTGCTGAGTAGGGAATCTGGACCTGAGTTTAGGCAGATCTGTGCCCAGAGCTCCACAATTGGGAGCCACTATATCTTCCTCTGTCTGCTTCTGAGGTCTTTTTTTGTTTGTTTGTCTTTTTGAGACAGGGTCTCACTATGCAGCTCAGGGTGGCCTTGAACTCACTTTGTAGCCCAGGCTGGTCTCAAATTCACAATGATCCTCGGCCCTTAAATTTAGGGGCTTTTTTGTTTTTGTTTTTGGCGGGACCAGGGATTGAACTCAGGCTCTTGTGCTTGCCAGGCAAGCGCTTATTCTACTGAGCCATCTCCCTGGCCCTCCCCTAAGGTCTTAACAAAGCATTTATTACATTCCTGACTAATCAACCACCTTCCCAAAGAGATGAGTCCCTTCTCCCCAACCACCCCACCTAAAATCGAAATCCCAGTCTTCCATTGCCCCTCCATCTTTCTTGGGGTGTTTGTGTACAATGGAAGCAGACTAATTTGCTTACTATGGAATATTGTTTGCCTTTCTTTTTTATATTATTATTATTATTATTATTATTATTATTATTTTGTATTTGC